GGGGGGGGGGGGAGGCTCCACCCCCTCCCCGCACCTGGCGGCGCTAGAAGAGAGGACTAGGGTTCAGGAAGCAGAGAGAGAGACTCGGGAGAGATCAATTGCAGTGAAAGGGAGACTAATTGCACCCCTTCTGATAGATATAGCGGCTGATGAGTGATTGCAACATTCTTTCTCCCTTTTTCTCCTATGGGTCCCACTTGTATAGGATATAAAATGGATGCACATGAGAACATCCATAATGGGGGAGAGGAGTGTATTTTTTGGGGTGTAAAGTCACTTTTACATTTCCTTTAGAGCAACTCCACTAATTTGCCCTTAGCCATGGCAAGGGGGGGAGCTAGGGCAGCTACTATTCACGTGAATAGTGGTTGCCCTTACAAAATCCGAATTTTGTGTTTCCACCCGTTGCCCTTGCTAAGGGCAGTTACTATTCATTTTTTTGTTTTATTCACAATTTTTTTTACCTCAATAATTAATTTGGATAATATTTTATGATTAGATTTTAGGGTTTCTACATGTCAATACTATTCATATCTCATAATCGGATAAAATTTTTTATTTCAAATTTCAAATAAATTAAAAAAAAATTGGCTGGTATTTATAGAAAAAAATTCATTAATTTTTAGGTATTTTTTAAAAAAAATTTCGAATTTTTTCCAGTATTTTATTGCAAAAAAATTGGCTGTCGTTGGATTGGAGGAAAAAAATCAGATCGGAGAGCCCAGATGACGCCACGTGGCAACAGGGAAAAAATCAAATCAGTGGGGGTACTGTAGCGCGAACTATAGCGGTCACTGTAGCAGGTACTGTAGCGCTGACGTCAGCAGCCCGAGTTTTGGACCTCGGGCTGAAGCTGCCTTCGGGCCAGCCCGAGTTGGTGGGTCCCACACCCCCCCCGGGCCTGGGCTGCTCCGCTGGAACACAAATTTTTTTTTTTCCCCCTAGCCTTGGGCTAGGCTCATGGGTGGAAAGGCCCTTATACTTCCGGAGGTTGTAAATGTGGTTTTTACTCCAATAGGGAATATGTGAATCTTGTATAATTGATTTTTCTCATTTTTATCCACTTTCTCTCACTTTTTCTCATGAAGGCCCCACCTACAAGGGATGTAAAAAAAAAATGCACATGTGCATCTAAATTTGCATATCATGGTTGTGATGCAAATTTTACACCTCCCCCATTTGCAGGTGATTCTGATCACAAATGGTATATATTTAACATACACCTCATTATACAACCTCCCACTGGAGATGCTTTAAGTATCTCCAGTGGGATGTGATGCATTTTTACAACCATTTACACCTGCCCATCGCAGGTGATTCCGATGGCAAAATGTGTATATTTAGCATACACCTAGCTTTACACCCCCCACTGGTGATACTCTTACACTCCCATTTGTTTTTTTAATACTTTTTAATCAATTTTGTTCTTTTTTATTATTTATCTTTCCTATTGTACCCTTACACTACATTAATTTCTTTTTTACTTCACTTTTATATTATTATTTTTTTCTTTATACTTAATTTTCCAACTTGCACTCCATTTTTTGTTTTTTTCCTTTCCATTTTTTTTTTATCGAGTAAGAAATAATTAACACTGTACATTTGTCTAGGAAAAATCCCATGCCCTAGGAATAAACCTTGCAACCATAGCTTTTTTTTTTTTGGAAAAGGAAACAATTTCTAATACAAAAGACAATAAAATATAGAGATGGCCAAGGTAGCCACAAAGAAACATAAAATAAAGAAAGAGTAATTAGACTGAACAAAATCCTCATACTCAATACCAAAGCTCAAATTAAAATCACAACTTCAGTAACAAATACAAAAGAGGATATAATTTAACAAAACTGTATCATTCGACTTAAACTATCACACTAAGAAAATTCAACCATACAAGAGCAGACAAAAGCTATAACCACAAATAAACCTTAATTCAAGATAAGGGTAGAATAGGAAAGAGAAAGAACTAAATTGATTAAAAAGTATTAAAAATCAAAAGGGAGTGTAAGTGGACAAAACGGGAGTGGGAAAATCAGCTCCTTTATTAAAATGGCTTCTAAAATTTTTAAAACAATTTTACATTATGACCTAGATTATCAAACGCTTTAAAACTTTTTCTTTTTTGGGCCAAAGCTTTTGTTGAGTGATTTTTATCTTAGTCTTTACTCAATGGTGATGTTGATGTCCAAAAATGGAGTCCTTCGATAGATGATACTAAGACCTGTAAAAGGGACAAGCTCGAAAATAACCTTGGCACTAGTATGGTACAAAGCAAAAGCACTCTAATGCTTAAGTTAGCACAAGGGTGGATTAGGGAATTATTTCGACATAGTACATTATACATGCAAATTAATGATTACCTGATGCACTAGGTGGGAGACATCTCTTGTGATTTCTTCGATATGGGACTATTGGCATGCCGACACATATCCCTAAGGTTTACCAACACGACATGTGCTTTGGCCAAAGTGGCACGATAAGTGACTTATTGAAGGAAGATCTTTATTCATTCCTTACGTCGAAGATGTGCACCATCTCCCTTTCCGAAGGCTAGACGGTGTGGCCATTTGGATTAGCAAGGGGCATGCTTGGCGGTTTGCGCATGAATGGTCTTTGATATGCACGATCGTTACTTTATGGTCCGCTTTTTACTGATTGTGCTCGATTAGTTATGGTATAAACGTGTGACAATGTTAATGTGTAATTCAATGTCTTTATAAACAATAGTAGCAAGTTAGTAAAAAAAATCAAGAGAGATGTTATTACCATAAGGAAAAAAAGAAGAAGAAGAATTAACTACATTTTACTCCATGCAGGATAGGGTTATTATCAAAATGAGCCTGAGGTTTCAATTTCATTAATATAAAACCTAACGTTTTTAAATATGACCAAATTACGCACTCCATCAACTTCATTGTTTGATTTTATGTTAAATTGTTGTCAAATTACGCACGCTATTGTTATTTTCTTTATTGTTTTCTTTTGCACATCAGCATAAAAATGACTATTCTACATGTCGCGTCTCTAATTTAACATAAAATCAAACAGTGAAGTTGATGGAGTGTGTATTTTGATCATATTTAAAAACGTTGAGTATGATATTGATAAATTGAAACCTCATGGCCTATTTCGATAATAACCTTAAACCTAAATGGAGTAAAATGTAGTTAATAATAAATAAAAAAGGGCATCTTTCACTCTTTCGAACTTATAAATTGCAACATTCATTGTGAGTTAGGGCCAAGTGGCTGTTCTGGTTTGAGCTTCCTTTAACTTTCAGAGCCCAAGCCCAACCAGGAAACGCTATTTGACCCAAAAAAAAAAAAAAAAAGAAAGAAAAAGGAGACGCTAGGCGATTGGTTGGCGACAACACCAACGACGGTCTCTAGTTCCACTCAAAACCCCAAACACTGTACCTCCTCCTCCTAGTCTCCTTCTCTACTAAATAAAATCCCATCTTTTCGGTCTCTTAAATCTCGTAGTAATAGCCAGCAATATTTTCAGGCAAAATAAGAACCGGAAAGTATCACAGAAGCCTGTTTTGCTATATTTTGATGGTTTTGGTTTGAGGGTGTTGCTGGGTTAGGATTGTTTTTTTTTTTTGGCTTTAGAGGGTGTAAGGGTGTAACAATGGCGGGAATAGCTATAGTTTTAGATCTACTGAGAAAAAACCCAACTCAAACAGCCCAGGCATTACACTCTTCTGGGTTTTTCTCAGCCAGAGCAGCAGCTGCTGCTGCCTCTGTTGCCGCCGGAGCTCCGTATGTTTATAAGACATTATTCGGGTACTCTCTCATATTTTTCTTAGTTCTTTTTTCCAATATGTGTGTTCTATGATGTAGCTGGTTGCGATGATATGGATTGTATATTGGGCTATGCTGATATTGGATTGTCTGTTGTGGAAATTAGTAGAGATATAGACATGCTTAGGTAAGTGGTGTGGCTCATGGGTGCTTTTGTCTGTGAGCAGTGGAAATTGGGGTAATGATTATTTTGTTATTTGCCCGTTAGTTTACATGGTGGTATATTGTAGTGGTGTGGGGCTATGTTGGGTATGGGAATTTGATGATACTTGGAAATATTGATTTCTGGTTGATTTTGTATCCATTGGTTATCGACATATACGATATGAACAATTGTAAAAGTGGATAAAGGTTCAATAAGCTATTTTTCTAATTTCCTATTTAAGGGCAGTCCTAAACTTTTGATTGTGTTTGATTTACTTTATGCGGTATAATGCATTCTTGGTATCTTATATGGTTGAAGATGAAGAAGAATAAATTCAGGATTGTTAGTTTGATGTGTAACCCCTATACAAAATGTCAGGAAAGTAAAACTTTTCTTTGCTATTGGGTTTCATGTCCCTGTTGTGTAGGTCCTTATTCATTCATTCTTTCTTGAGTTCGTTGCATAATCTTAATATCAGTAGCATGTCTTTAATGAGTTTAATTATTTTATTTCATTATTACTGTGAAGATTGTTGTTGGCTGAAGTTTGATCATGTACTAATGTTTTAGTACTATGCAACAGTAATTTTAGGATACCAGTTGCCTACTGTGATGCTGGAACAGCATGGTCTGAAGACTATGTTTCTAATTTACAAAGCGCATCTCAAAGATTGTTTCAGAATGACTCTCTGAATTACAGTACCAAGGATTACAAAATTGAGTTAAAGCCTCTGTTCTCAGCTTTTGAATGGAGGGCTCTAGCTATGACAACTTTGAGGTCATTTTTAATGTTCTTTTTACCTCTTTTGGAGCCTCGTTCAAACTTGGAAGAGGATGATGATGACTTCCTGCCAGACACTGAAGAAGAGCAGCATGTAGACTATGCTGTTCCAATAAAAAAATCAGTAATTCAAATTGTTCGTGAGGTAAGTTGTTTTTCCTGCTTTCTTCTTTTTATGTTGAATTTAGGTTAACCAAATTTCAATCATACAGTCGAACCAAAAAACTTTCAATCATACAGAATGTCCTTCAATGAATTCCTTTAGTTCCATGGTGCCTTTTTCTGTTTACCCTTTGTTGGTCTTAACACCAGACTATGATATGCTTCAGATAGTTTGACTCAAAAAATTTCTCTGTGAAGGGCTCATTAAAGGATTAAGATATCACGTTGGAAATATCAATATCCAGCGAGTGCTTGGTAGCATTAGTTCTGTGGAGGCCTTACTGAAACTATGCTACTTGTAAATCATTATGCACCATGCATCATAAGTAGCCATGGCAGTTATTAGAAATTTGTGTTTCTTGAAAAAATGACTAAATGTCAACAGAATTAGGTGCTTGGATTTTCATCCTTTTTCCAATGCTTGTTGATGCTCTAAATTATAAATGAGATGAAGCGTGTGTCACAAATCATATTTATTTTGAAAATCAATCTGGTCACAAAACAAGCTAGTTTCTGAGAATGCGCTGCAGATGTTTGTTAGTTGTCGAATCATCTCCAAAGCTTTGATCGCTACGCTACCCTCTTATTGTTACTCCCCTTACCATACACCACTTCAAATGGTTACTTCTCCCCTTACTTAACTGATCGGGGACAAATCTATGCTCTTGAACTTGAACACTGTGATGGGTAACATGGCTATACGACTGGAGATCGGTGATGCTTTAAATTCTCTATGTCCATTTTCGGGGATTTTGGCATGAATTGGGCATAAAGTCCTAAGCTTCGTAGGCCCAATGATCATCCAGATGCTCGTTAGCCTTCACCTGAAACAGTGTTAGGGAGTTTTTCTCTCTTCCTTTTTTCCCCCAACTGTAGTTACTTAAATAAGCCACCTACCAAATTTTGTACTTCTCAGGATTGCAACTTATTCTTGTATTCAACAAAGTTTGGCGTCTTGCATTGCTGTTCAATTGGATATGTAGTCTATCAGTGTATGTAAGGCATCCAGTAACTATTGGAGACAAAGATGATTGAGTTAATTTTTGCATCCCATCGCAGACCACTGTTGTAACTACAAGACGGATTCTAGAACGACTTGCTGTCCATTATGTTTCACAGAGAATGGCATGGAAACTTCTTAAAGGTAATTTCTTTATGTAATAATTCAAATCTAGTTTAATTTTAGAAGAATAAGTGAACAAAACTTATGAGGATAGTAGGGATGAATCGATTTGTAATTAGAAAATATGATTGACCACATGCAATCAATTTGTACAGATGTTCCAAAGTCAGCCATGAGGAAAGCTGGAAGAAAGTTGCCTACTTTGGTTTTCTTCTTCAGTGTTAGCAGAACAACTTTCAGAGGTGAAATTCCAATTCTTGTATCCTATTAAAAATAAATAAAAAAGACTCCCGGGGCTGTGGGGTGGGTTGGGAAGAAAGAATCATATAGCCTCATTATTGTTGGTTGCTTGAACTTTCAATCTCACTGTGCTGTTTATGTTTATACGTTTGTGCAGGGCACTTTCTGGGTGTTGCAGCGTCATGGCTCATCCAAGTAGGCATTGAAATCTACCGATTTTTTTCTCATATGATAAAGTCTAAAGAAGAAGTTGATGACATTGATACACCAGAGCAACTTAAACTTCTTGCGACAAAGGTTTCAAGTGCTACTATCAAGTGTGGTGCATCACTCGTTTTTGCTTCCATTGGGGCAGGTATTGGTGCCACCCTTATCCGCCCTTCGGTTGGCCAGTGGATTGGTAAGTGAATGAATTAAGTGGTCTGTATATTTTAGTACCCATTGTATGACCTTGTTGTAGTGTGCATATATATAATTTCTATTTTGTTTTGACAGGCTGTGCTGCGGGGGATTTGGCAGGGCCTGTTATCATATCATATTGCTTTGGGAGAATTTTCCCTGCAGAACTTTGAGCACTGGGGATAAACTTGTTTGGTGTGTTCTTTGCAATTGCTTCGAAGTTGACTGGTATACACAAGACAATTTGTTAGAATGTGATGATAAAAGTTTTGACAGCAAGACTTGAAAAAACTTTTTACGATGAATTTTTCAAATAAACTGTTTTACTTTGGTGTTTACTCATCGTGGTTGTGTGATTAGTGGAAGAATGCTTTCTGAATTAGCCAAGATAGGGAATGGTAGAGACATGGGTTGTCAAATTTTGGAGGAGCCTCCTTGCAGCGTAATTTCTGTTTTATTAGATGACAAGGCCGGCAAGGCCTGTCCTAGATTAATTGTTTCTTAAGTTTGTTTTTGGCTCTGCGTCAGTGTAACCGAAGAAAAGAATGCACTCTGAATTGATTGTTTCTTTGTACTGCATATCTATGCCCATTCTTGTCTTATGTATCTGTGCTCCTGGGAACAATTTTAAAGTTTGTTTGATATTGAACTTAGTATTCTGATGAATGCTTCTGAGAATGGATGTTTGGATTTATGACGGGCTTGTAACTCAAGTGATAGTGAGCATTTATAAATAAATAAATAATGCCAGAGTTTTCATCCACCTTTGGCCTCTTTGTAACCAAAAGAAAAAAAATAAGAAAGAGAAGTTGCATGTCATTTGTACAGCTTCTTTGCGGCCAACTTGGTAAATGCCAATCTTATTGAATATGAGACGAAAATGCAATTGCAACTTTGATGTGCATTGAAAACATTAGTAAATTATATAGCAAATGTGAAAAAAAAAGCCCAAAAGAAGCACCTCTACTCCAAACCAGCCCACCAAATTTCAAAATGACAAGAATGGATTTACATAGCAAAACAATAGACATGCAAGTCCTCTCCTGAAGACAAGACCAGCAGCCAAGTTCTGAAATTTTTGTTAGCATGACCAAAGACAAAGGTCATCCTAGAGCACTCTTTCATTTCATGGCATGTGAGTTGTGCATGGGAATTGTGACTCTGTTTGCTTGTGTATGTGTAAGTGCGTTATGTGTGCGTGCGATAAGGTGTAAGTATGCATGTGATGGATTGTGTTGGTGTAAGAAGTGGTAACAACGAAGTGTAGGGTGCTTTGTATAAAAGAGAGACTTCTGAAGAGAGGAGTGCATCACGGAATAAATTTTTTTAGTACTCTACTTCAACCTTCAATCCTTCAATAAAATTTCCCTTTTTTTTTTCATACGCTATCTCTCGAACCATTATTAATACACTATTCATACATTCTCTCTTTTAACCATTGTTAATACATCGACAGTTAATATGTCTAACTTCCTAGCAATATCAACATCAACATCAACAATACTTAAGTAAGTCTTTTTATCTTTCATTTTTTAGTTTTCTCAAACAAACTTCTAGTTCAAAATAGGAAAACACTATTATAATTGTGTTATTATATAATTTAATGCTTGCCGTAAAAATAACTAGATGTTAGTCAGGGAACCTCTGAATTAAGAGGACCTTTGAGTTTTGCAACCATAGCCCTGTAAGTTGTCCTTTTTGCAATTCAATGTTCAAGTTTCATTTTCTTGAAAATTAATTTAATTAATTATATATAAGTAAATAATCACTTCATTTATTTCCTTCCCAACTAGTTAATAATTAGTAAGTACATGAATGCAGAAAGTCGTTGTTACCCCTAAATAAAAACCAATCACTATTTTTTTACGATTTTCTATTCTATATCTATATCTGCACAATTACCTCGGCTAGAAGTGACGCACCGTGATGGCGTCTAGCGCCGACCACCGTGAGGCCATCTTGGAAATGAAATATAAGATGAAGAGGCTAGTAGAAAAGGTCAAGTGGAATGAAAAATGTTATTCTTACCACTAGAGTCACTCAAGCACCACCTCGCACTTCGCCACCAAAATGGCTCGGATGAGAAAAATGGCTCCAACGATAACAACGGGACTTGTGGAGATACGCCAAATTATAAGTTTTGAATCCAAAAAACTTCTCAAACCTATATATTTTGGGGGATGGAAATTTGAGAAATCTCAAATTTGGACTATAATTCCACCCAAACTATTGCCTGGACTGATAATGTTTGTGGGCTCAAAATCTGCTTTTTCTTCTTTGTTTTATGCCTTGGAAGCCCATGTGAACAACAAAAAGTGTTGGCCCCATGTGAGTTTTGCAATAAGCTGGCCATTTGATTGAATCCCAACGGCTACTTTTTCAAAATTATGCTGTGCTCTTTTTTTTTTCTTTTCATTTTTTAAAATTAAATTAAATTTTTTTAATATTCCAACAGCTATAATTTGTGTCAACCAAAAATCCCTTTTTTTTTTTCTCCATTTGTTATATTTTTTTCATTCTATTTAATACTTTACTCATTCTTATATGGTGTTGTACTTGTTTTCATTTTTAAGTGAAATTCTATTATGTTTTGGAATTTTAATTTTTTTAGGTTAAAATGTTTATAAAATTAAATCACGAATGTTGAAACAAAAATAATGTCAAGAAAAATTAACGAGAAAAAAAAAAGTAAGGGTTAATCATTCTTAAATAATTTAATAAAGTTTCGGACTCAAATTATGAGTCTGCAAGGTTGCAGAGAAAAAAAAAATTGAGTTCTGAAAATACATGAATAGTTGTATTTTGGAGGGTGGAAATTTGAGTTTAGCTCCAACAAGGTTGGAGATGGCCTTATGTAACTTTTTGTACGTAGATAATAGTACATAGTAGCTAACAGAAAGGGAAGAGAGAGGGGGAGTGGAAATGGGTAATTGTTGGGTTGATAAATAAAAATGCGGCTAAAAAACGGGGTACATACTTTTTTGAAATCGGATGGATGTGTTGTGGTACCCTTTTTGTTTGGTCGAATTTTCCTCCCGCTGGGGTTTTTATGGTCAAGGTTTTAATGATGCCACTTTTTTAGTCCTCATGTAGTGGTGTACGTTGCTTCATGTGAATGAAAATTAATTTGATCAATTATATATCAGCAAATAATCATTTCATTTCTTTCATTCTCAACTAGTTAACAATTAGTACGTATATGAGTGCAAGAATCTCAACTTGGAGCTCAAAACTCGCAATATTTTGCCCCTGGCTCCATTATGATCAAGGTAAACGAAAAAGACCGTGCAAAGCCTGAAGGTTCCATGAAAGGTGGTAGGAGAAGAAAGACCCCATCACCAAGCTGTCGGAGGCAAATCTTCTATAAGGTTCCATGAAGAATACCAGCAAGATTTTGGGAGCACAAAAATAGTTATAACTTCCATGTCATTCCATCTATAAACACAGATCTTGAGAGACTAGCCTTGCCAAAACGATTTGCTTACAAAGACTTAGTTGCAGCCACCAATGGCTTTGCAAACGGCAGAAGGCTAGGTCAAGGGAGGTCAGGACAAGTTTATAATGGATTCATACAAGATCTAGGCTGCACCGTTGCTGTCAAGAGAATTTTTGTGCAGTCTGAGCACTACGAGAAAATCTTCATCAATGAAGTCAAAATAATAAGCCGCTTAATACATAGGAACCTTGTGCAGTTCATTGGATGGTGTCATGAGTGTTGATTTATAAACTCTTAAGCAGATTTATTAGTTAGTTAAATATAGTTTCGTTTTAGCTCACTTTGTAAGCCTAGTGTAAGCTTTCTATTGGATGACTAAAGGAACGGTTGAGATCTCTTTGATGTGTAAAGGATCCAGCTATTAAGCCTAACGGTCATATATTCCCTCACACTATGTGCGTGAGGTTGTAAATAAGTGAGAGAGTCTGAAGGAATAGAACATTTCTCTGCTACACGTATAGCAGAGTCATTTTTGCCAAAATACTGTTTGCTCTAAATTCTTCTTTTCTTCTTCATCACTCTGCCTTCCTAATCTTAGAAAACACTAACATGGTATTAGAGTCAGGTTCAATCATCTGAAGCTGGTCGTTCAATCTGTGAATGAAAAATCATCCGGAAATTTGGAAGCTCATTCAAAGCTCACGAAGCCACTTGAGCTCGTTTTCTCCTCAATCTAAAAACAACTTGTTTTTGGAAGCATCTGAGATCAACCATGGCTAGATCTGGAAGCTCAGAGGTGAGAACTCAGATTTTCTCTGGCGAAAACTATGAGTTCTGGAAGATTAAGATGGTGACCATATTCAATCATATGGGCTTTGGAATCTGGTAGAAAAGGGAATTTCAATCTCTTATTCTAAGAAGAAGAAGAATAAGAAGGCATCTGAGGAAATCTCAGAAGAGGAAGATGATAAGAAAGCAGCTGCAATCCTCATGAAGGATGCAAAAGCTTTGGGTATTATCCAAAATGCGGTCTCAGATCAGATTTTCCCACGAATTGCAGATGCAGACTCTGCCAAAGTAGCTTGGGAGCTGTTGTATGGAGAATTTCATGGTGGAGATCACGTTAGATCAGTAAAACTTCAAAATCTCATATGTGAATTTGAATATACTAGAATGCATGATAATGAGTTGTTGTCTGCTTACCTTACTAGACTAAATGACCTAATTAACCAAATGAAAACGTGTAGTGAAGTGCTCTCCAATGAGAGGTTTGTTCAAAAGGTCCTAATAAGTCTAAGCAAGATATATGATCCTATTTGTTTGGTGATTGAGAACACTAAGAGTTTAGAAACTGTGGAATTACAAGAAGTAATTGCCATTCTGAAAAGTGAAGAGCAACGATTTGAGTTGCACAATGTTGATACAACTGAAAAAGCTTTTGCCTCATTCACTGTCCAAAAGGCCAGAACAAGAGTGTAGTGAAATTTGGCTCATCCAAGTTTCAAAAGAATTGGAATCCTAAGGGGAAACCATGGGAGTCAAAAGGAAAGTCTCAACAAAACAATCATGCACCAGCTCACAATTTCAGCTCATCACAGCCAGCAAGTCAAGGGGGTGTAAAGCCTCAATGCAAAGTGTGCTCAAAGTACCATTTTGGAGAACGTAGATATAAAGGCAAGTCAAAATGTTACAATTGTGACAGGTTTGGTCACTTGGCTAGAGAATGCACTACAGGGAAATCTATGCAAAAGGCAAATTGTGCAAACCAAGTGGAGGTGATTGGAAATTTGTTCTATGCAAATTGTGCAACCATTGAGGCAAACCCAAATGGGGATTGGTACATTGACAGTGGCTGTAGCAACCACATGACTGACAATGTTGATTTACTTGTTTATGTGAGAACAAATGTGGTAGGACATGTACAAATGCCAACTGGTGTACTTGTGAAGGTGGCTGGCATGGGATCATTGATCATTGAAACAACCAAGGGGAGAAAATACATCAGAGAAGTGATGTATCTTCCAGGCTTAAGAGAGAATCTGCTGAGTGTTGGGCAAATGGATGAGCATAGATATTTTCTGGTGTTTGGAGATGGAATGTGCAAGGTGTTTGATAGTTCCTCACTGAACTGTCTCATCATAAAGGTTCCAATGAAGAAGAACAGGTGCTATCCTTTGTCTTTTCTAGCTGAGAATTAACTGCTTATGAAGGCTAGTATCACCCATTGCACATGGATTTGGCATAAAAGACTAGGACATCTA